CAGAGCAAAAAAGCAGAAAAAGGACACAAAGTCTCTCACCTCCGATCCATCCTGCGATGAAATCATCCAAACGAAAACTCTTAGAGGTTTGCATCTTCAGGCCAGCAGTTCAAAACTTCAGCCCGCCGCCTGTCATCAGCCAGCGGACGAAAATAAGCAGATATATTCACTCGGAACCCCCCGAAAGACAGACAGGCATCGGTTTTTGTGGGTTACGTGTCGTTTGGCCGCCTTTCTTGGGAAAAGTAAAGCATTTTTAACAGGGTCTGCATTGATAAAGAGACAGCTCTGCAGCGCGGAGCGGCAGCCAATCAGAGCGGAGGATGGATCTGCTGGACAGAAATCCGGGCGAATCACATTCGAGCTTGGGGAGGCGAAGCGGCCAATCAGGGGGTCGTCATGGAAATGAGCCATGAGGAGGAAACCCGAGCAGAAAAACAAGGCCGCCGGCGTCTCGCTGTTAGCTTGAACCGGTGGCCGCTCGCTGCCAAGTGTTTGTCAGAATATCCTCACCGAGGTCAGAGGGGGCGAGCCTCTGAACTTTGACCCCCTGTGCTAACAGTAAAAGGACACAACGTACCCGCGAAACACGAGAAAGTTGAGGGGAAACTCGCACATACCAGAGGACCAGGTCTGGGCCTCCAAACGCCCACCTGTGATGAGAGGGGGGGAACCTCCATTTAAACAATAACCCCTTTTATAACCCATTTTTCAGATTTATTTTTATTCTTTTGTACCTATAGATTCAAAATGTGACACTTGTTTTTAGTTTTTGGTGTTGTGGTTGAACATAATGGCAGAGCCAAACATTTTCTGAAATAAAAATGAAGAAACATTACCGGTAAGTAGATGTGTCTCTAGATTTGTTAAAGTCCAATTGAAATGATTTGATTTATATGATTTATTCATGTGAAACAAGCGTTAGATAGAAAAAATAATAGAGATTATAGTCAGATTTTTGTCATATATACACAAAGATAGTGCAAAGCGTGCAATTTTATTCACTTTTCCGGAGACACTTGGTTCATTTTTCAAATACTTTCTAATTGACAGTCCTGGTAATGCGGGCCTAGCTGGTTCTGGCCCTAGGGAAGCAGAATAACTCCCTAAATACTCAGAAATAGACCAATTCCTCTTATTTTTTCAGGCATGAAGAACACCATTTATTGGTTGGAGGGGTTGGGAAGTGTGTACCAGCCCATCCCAAACTCATAAAGATGTAAAACCGAGCTTCCAAGATTAATCATGTAAAATAGTAATTTTCCAGAACTCTGAGTGGGTGTGCTGTTTCTGAACACATGGAGTCTTCTTGAAATCATATAAGTTAATGTTTCAGAGCTTTTAGGACACTCCTCTTCCCCCAGACATGCCTCACTGTGAGATAAGATTGATAACATCAATTTCGCACTTCTGGGAGAAGTACCAGAAAAACAATGTGTCAGTCATGTGACCGTTAACAGAAAGCATTCAGCCTACTTTTTTTAATTTTTTTATCTCAAACCCCACGTGTTTCCAGTAGCTTTAAAAAAATATTTTTTTTTAAATCTATTTGGCTGCATTTCACCTTTTATTCTCTGTCCTCTCCCACTCCCTCTTCAGGAATTCAGTCTTAAAGTTTTTTTTATGTCTTACTGGTCTAAGTTTAATGTCTATAGTTAAAATCGTTCACAGGATTAAAAGATTAAGTGGTGTCCGGGGATCATTTTCTTAAATCCTTTACTTTAATCTTTATATGACCACTGAGGTCGGGTGTGTTTATGTGGATTACTGTCTTATGTTTAAAGTGGTTATAACTCATTAAAATGAATGAAACATTAACATTTGGAGAGAATCAGAGTCTGTGTTTTTCTTTGGTGTTCATTAAAGGTTTTTCAAATGAGGACAAGTCCCTGAAACAGCATCCATTGTGTGGTTGGACAATGAGTCCTGTTCCTAATCCTAAAATAAGAGTTATGGTAGGAGATGCTCTCTGATAGCTGTTCAACCATCATGGAGTGACGTTTGGAAAGACTTTGTGGCCTCGTTACTATCTACAGTCCTACTTTAACCACTCCAGCCAAAGAACAGTTTGATTGATTTAATTTATTCTCTGTATATGGTTTCAAACAGGTGTCTTTGTGTCGTTGTTCTGGTCTAAAACACAGTTTTGCAGAGTCATTCAGTGGTCGTGTTTTGCTGCTGTGTGCATTTCTTTGCAGACTTTGTGTGAAGGAACCACATTTTCTATTAAAGGCACCTTACTGCCAGAAGAGGGAAAGAAAAGGAGAGAAATCCATCTTCAAGGGCATTACTTTCTTTCCAATAACGTCAAAGTAAATCTTTAACTAAGCTTTGTTTACTTCTGAAGGAAAGTCAGATGAAAGGCAATCAGCTCAGATATTATTTCTATTACTTATGATCAACCTTTTTTTTTTACATAAAATCAGTTAGTTAACTTATTTTCTGCCCATTTTTCCACCCTCTAAAGTAACATGGTGACACTTTGATTTTTCTGCCCATTTTTCCACCCTCTAAAGTAACATGGTGACACTTTGATTGTCCATTTCTAAAAACAGTTGAAGTTCTTGGTGTTTTCTACATCTTTTCTAAGAATCTTCAGTAAAGAGAAGAGGGATTAAACAGAAATGGACGTTGGCGTTCAGCCTGGTTTCCTCTTCGTGAAAGATGCAATCCACACCGCAGCTGCGCCTTCTGGCTGATCATGGACGGGGAAACTGCGTAAATGCAGCCTAAAAAATGCCTCAACACTGAAATAATCCTGAAAATACACATGTGTTGATTGCTTTAGACTTGATTGAAACATTGAAAGGGGACGGTGACGCTAAAAGAAATCTGGATAAAATGTAATTGACATTTACTTGCATTTACATTTATTTTATCAAGCATTTTATGAGGTAGTGGTTATAGGTTAGCTCCAACCATTGGGATTATTTAGGTTAAATATTTACTGGTAAACAGCTCAGTAGTAAAATGCAGTGATGATTAGAGAGAACTCCTTTGACGTTTATGAAGACATGTGGTCACCAGATATATATCATGGTGACGGGGGCATCTCGTATTTTTCTGAATCACATTTCAGCAACTAAAGCTCCTCAGACAGATTGTGGACGGCTAAAAATTGGGTCAAAGTTGACGAGCATACAATCTGAGACCTCCAATAGCCCTGCAAGCTGTTTTCAGATGCATGTAAAACCAGGATGAGACCTTATTTCCTGTCATTCCTAAACAGAAAACAGAGTTTTAGGTGAGAAGCCCGGTGAGTCGGCTGAAATATGGGGAGAATAAACCAGAAAACTGGGTTTGAAATCCCGATTAGATGTAACACGGAGAAACAACTACACACAAGAGAAAAAGGTCACGACAGAGCTACAAAAAAAGGAAAAATCCTCACAAAGGTGCACAATAAACATAAAATGATCTCAAAAAGGGAAAATTATACCAGAAACAGACAAATTAATTATACAATAACCGAAAAGAAATAAATAAAAAGAAATCTTTAAAAAGAAAAGACATAACAAATCTAAAAAAGGAGACACAGGAAATGAAAAACTAGACTGGAAACACAAATATACTCTCCAAAAATTACCAAAAAATGAGAGACAGTCCTATGTTTTGGTTTAATGGTTTTGCATTTCAATATTCCTCAAACTTTAAAGGCGGATTACAATCTGTCATACAAATGTGATCGTTTTTGTCACGTCTGGGGGAATGTCTGGTGTCTCGTCATGTTTTGATCACCTATTGTGTACACCTGGGGTTCCCCTCCCTCATGTGTTTAAATAGTCCTCGTTTCCCATGTCCTGTGCCAGTGCGTTTTTGTCTGTTGTCTTTCGTCTCCCCACGTCAGTTCAGGTTTGATTTTGTCACAGCCTTGTTTACTTTACTGCCATAGTCATGTTTTTGTTCCATAACCACAGTTTTCGTCACAGCCATGTTTTGTCACAGTTTTGTTAATCATAATTTGATACTTTGCCACAGTCTTGTTAACTTATTGCTTTGATACTTTGCTCATAGTTTTTCACAGCCTTGATTTGTACTTTGTCTGGACATTCACTCTTCATGAGTGTTTTTTGTTACAATAAACCTTGTTTTTCCTCCACCAAGACCCAACCTCCTTGACAGTTTTGGTCAGAAGGGAGTTGCATTTTGTTCCCTCCTCCCATCCTACTTCCCCATAATCCCTTCTGAACAAACATTTATAGCTTTTATGGCTTTTGCGAGCAATGTTCATCATGACAAATAGCAGCGGGTCATAATTTGAAAAAAGGAAATGAGACAAACCAGGAAACGTTGCAGGTTTGGAGCCTTAAAATGCAATCCTGTGTTCTCAAGTCCGCTTTGACCTGGTGGTGTCAGTGTTTTTCTCAGTGTGCCCCGAATTAACTCAGACACGTTTACTCAGAAATATCTTAAGGATTTATATGTCATTTTAACATTTAGCCTTTCTGGGTCTGATTTCTAAGAAGAAATCCGCAGTTTCTCTAAGGATACAAAAAAACTTTTAATGGTTTCAGAAATGTGTGTCTTTATGTTAAAAAAGACAAAAATACTAAAAACTAAAAGCTAAAAACAAACTACTCATGACATGGTTAAGTCCAGAAATGGGATATTTCTTTAGGATTACAGCAGACCCTTCAGATTTTGGTCCTTTTTAGGTTTCTGAAGCAGGTTTGAGGTGTTTCTAGATGGTGTTTTGAAGCAGATAAAACATCTGCAAACTGATTCAACAGCCTGAAGTGGACCACAGTTTGAGATCCCTGCTCTCAGGGGTGTTTTTGTGTTTTTTTCTGTCTAGTTGGTGTTACTGTCCACGTCAGAAAAAAGCACATGGACCTCACGCAGCCCTGGATCTCTGAAAAAACGAGGGGCATTTCCTCTGTTTGCAGCTCCGGACCCACCTCGGTCGGACGCGTTCTGAATCTGGGAGCTGATTGGCCGAGGCCTGTGGGCGTGTGGTCGGGCTGGCCGTCTCGGGAAAGAGGTCGGTGACACGCAGTGACTCCAGGCCGAGGGCACAGCTGCGTCAGTCTGACGAAGGCAAAGAAATGTCACAATTTGGGAACCTGACAAACAAACAAGACACAGTTTGTAGAATGTGACGACCAAATGGAGATAAAACATGAATGAATATAGAAAAGATCAACGTTTAATAATGAATGGGTGCAGGAAAAGGCAGCATTTCAGCTACGTGTCAGGGAAATCTGCATTTTTACTAAATCGGCTAAAAACACTTGTTTTGTATCTTTTTTTTTTTTGGCATCACAGCAACAAACAAATGAGTATAAATGTAATTTCCTTGGGGGAGATGGTCGTTTAACAGGGACAGACTTATGTTACATATAGAAAGGAGTTTTGTGTGTTTACATGATGCATTTTCATTCAAATAAGGGTTAAAAATAATCCAAATCCGTGTTATGCGTCCATCTTTCAGACCCAATTCAGCCACAAGACAAAATGTTTTCAATGAAAGAATATCACAAAATTCTGTCCAAATACACAGAGTGAATGTGGTGGTCGGTTTGCAAAACATTGCTCTAAGAGGAAAACCAGTTTCATCTCCGGATGCTCCAAAATGAGTGGAATTAGGTAATAAAAATCCAATCGAAGGGCTTGACTGCCTTAACTTAGTAGCTGAGTTCACATTGGCATTTTTAAATGCATTTAGCTGATTACAGACAGATTCATGTGACGGATAAAACATTTGGGTTTAGTTTATGTTTAGTTTTTTGGGCCCGCTTTCTCCTCCAGTAGCTTCTTCCAGTTTCCTGTTCAGGTCATTAGTTCCTGTCTGTCTGTCCTCAGTCCCCCCATCAGTTCAATCTGTAGTTAAACTACCTGGATGTGTGATCTTCGGATTCTTCTGTTTGCTCATTATTTGTCTTTGAGTTTCTGTCTTCTGATTGGTTTTATGTTAAAGTTTTTCTCTGATTTTTCTGCAACTTCCTGCCGTTTTCAGTTCTCCCCGCACACCGAAACAGGAAAAAAACCTCAACATTAAACAGCACAGAGGTGGTTTACTGCTTGTTTTAGGGAGGATTCGGGCTAGATTACACAGACATGAGCAGCTTTGTGGTTAAGCAGCTGTTTCTGGTCTGAGAAACAAACACAACATTCACATGACTGACCAGGACCTCCTCTTCATTTGCTGCTTTTTTGGGTGTCCACCGCAGGTGTTGTTCTCTCCTCCTCCAGCTTCACCGTAAGCCTCCAATCGTCCCTTTTTGTGACACTATTCAATTCAATTCAATTCAATTTTATTTATATAACGCCACATCACAACAACAGTTGTCTCACAGCGCTTTCCAAACAGAGCAGGTCAGACCCTACTCTGAAGATAATTACAGAAACCGAACAATTCCCACCATGAGCAAGCACTAGGCGACACAGGCAAGGAAAAACTTCCTACACTATACGGCCTAAATGATGTGTATAAAACCAGAGGGTTTAAATAGGTTTTTCACTGGTTTCTCAAAGCTCATTTAAGTTGTTTTTTGGTATTTATTGCAAACTTGATCCACAAAAAAATAACAGATTAAATATAATAAACAAACACAGTTCCTGACTGATTCAACAGGGCTGGTAAGCTTGCATCTGTCTGTTTCTTTGTAAAATAAAACCTAAAAGTGGGTCCAAAAGGGTTTGACAGTGTTTGGAGAGCCTCTGCCCTTTGTTCCCAGAATGAGATAAGAAACTGGCTTTCCTTAAAAAGTGGAGTCGCCTTGTCAGATGTGACTCCAGATGTGTTAACACATCCATGAAATGACTGTGATGTGAAGCTTTGACTGTAGTTTAAGCTTTTAAATGATTTTTGAAGTTTCTCAGTTTGTCTCTGTTCAGTTCTGAGTGTTTTCTCAGTCTCTTTCAGCCCCGTGACGTTCGGCTTTCAGCTGCTGGGAAGGTTTCTCCACACATGGGAGTCAAAGTTTGTTTGTGGGAAGGTCAGTGACACATGGACAAAATGTGCTCCAACTCCCTTAATGATTCACTTTTTTCTCATTAGGGCCGACCACATCGGAGTCGTTACTGTAATTCTGGCCTCAGCATGCATCTTTCATATCTGTTTTTGAGCTGAGATTAGAAGATAAAGGTATTTCTGTCCAGATATGATGTCAAATCAATAAAAAAGGCAAATATCCTGCTTATCTCAGTGTGTCTACAGTAAACTGAACTGTTCTGAATGCTAAATAAACCAATTTCTTGGATTGATACGTGACCCCTTAGAGTCAAGGACTGTTTCACAACACTTTATGTCACTGAGATTTTCACAATCCACCTAATAATATATCATATAAAATCATAAACACACATTAAACCCTATGCTGTTTTGAATAAAAATGTAAAAAAGAAACATTAAACTGGCCTCAAACAGTTACAGAGCTCTCAGGCCCATTTGATTGACGTATAAAGTTATTCCCCCACATTGTCTGAGTGAGTTTGTCTGACTTTGAAAGTCTCGGTTTTGTAAGGTTTTGGCTAGACAAACACCATAATTACCTTATGATTTGTATTAAGCAAACGTGCACCACGTGACATCCCCTGTAATCACAGCAAAACAAACAGTGTGCAACATTTCCAGGGTAGCAGCCGGTCGCACGCTGATAAGAGACGCTGCCTCGACCCAGAGCGGTCGGCGCGTTCATACCAGGGTGGAAAATCAGAAAAGGAAAATGTGCTATTAATAAGAAAAGCCTGATTCTAATAAAGCAAAACCCTATTAAAGCAAAACCGGGCATTCTTTGGCCATTAAATAAATTCCCTTCCTGTATCTATACACCATGACAAAGGGATAAATCCACTTTAAAGGCCTGTTGAGGAAGAAAAAGCCAATAACAGCTACTTCATTGTATACATTTATAAATGCAATTAAAAAAAAAAAAATCTCAACAAAAACGTTGCAACTTGTCACAAAATATATTCAATGTCAGAATTGGGAGCAACATGAGAATATCTTGTTACATTCTGTAAAAACAATACACTTTAATGAAAGAAAAATCCCATTAAATGTCTTATTTTAGTTTGATTGAGTTCTAGAATTTTAATAATCCTAATCCTAATTTCTCTATTCTCAGGGGCCATATTTATTTAGATGTATTTCGGGTTAACAACTAATCGGAATGTTAAAAGTGTTTCACGTAAACACAAATGCGAAGACTTTAGAAACTTTTCAGTTATTCGGATTCGGATCAATATTTATTTAGCATTAGCACAGCGGCTAGCGCAGGCTGTTATCTTTAGTGCGCATGCCTGTTACGTCAACCGTAAATCCAGGTAACGTAATTTCGCTTTTACGTTTCAGCCAATTTAAAACACGGTGAGGCCAAAACAAAACTGATGAAACCAATACACTGCTTCCAAATGATAGAAATGAATTGAAATAAAAATAGTTAACACGTCCCGAAGCAGCTTTATGTACACCGGAAATGGTAGTTTCTTCTTCTACGGCTGTAGAAGCTTGACAGTTTTGCGCATGTCAAAAATGATAAACAAAACCCAGAGTAACTGTTTTGGATTCCATGTCAAAAGCACAGTTTTAATTTAAAAAAAAAAGCTTTAAAATCTATCATATCAGTCACTACATCAACATATCTGTGCATTTTGACAGATTATTTTCAAACAGATGCTCCTGTGAGTCGCTTCAGTGTGATTTGCTGACTAACAAGAATATTTATTCAAAGTTCTCCAAGTTGGAGGTTGTTTAGTTTTACTTCACAGTTTCAACGACAACATTCGAAGATATTTGACGGTGAAAAAATAAAATAAAAATCTCAATTTGAGTGACTGATGCACTGCACTTGTAATGATAAAAAAAAGTGATATTGTTTGGGATAGGCTACTTTTTCTGGAAAGGTTTTTTCCCTTTTTTTCTTATATCTTTACTACTCATTTTTATAAATTCACTTAATTTCAGTTGAACTCACAATATTATGAATCAAAGGAAACACACCGGGAAGTCTTTTGTTTTTAAGTCTGTTGAAGATTATAAACTGTACAGGTTTTTTTTCCATTTTCTTTCTTTTTTTTACAGCAGTGCAAACTTTGATTATCAATGCATGAAAATATGCACGATTGCCTATACTAATAATAAAATAATAAAAAAGCTAAATATGTTGTATTTCTAGAAATGACCTGTACAGAGTCAAAGGCAGGAGCTTATCAGAGGTGTTCAAGAGGGATAAAAAAGCATGAGACATTTTTTGAAGCCTTCTCTGACTGCTTGCTGCCACTAGGGGGCAGAATAGGTTCACCTTTGACTACAGGGGAGTGCAGACCATTAATTACCCCCTCCGTCCTGCCTTTTCAATGTCACAGTTTCAATTATGGACGACCTTTTTGCCTCGCACGGCAGCAGCCGCGTCACGGAACGTGTGATTTCGCTGGAATTCCTGAAGCAGCGCGGTAAATAAATCTGACCTCGGTTCAGATGGATGCAATGAGAAACTACTCCGAGGCTTTCGGAGCCCTGGAAGAGCGGTTTGCATTCCAAAGGTCCCGCCTGCCTGTTTTTGTGGCTCCACGCTGCCTTTAAACCATCTGCACACGGCAGAACGAAAGGAAAAAACGTTGCTCTGATGTGAATTTGAACCACTTCCTTCCTTCAAATGAAAAAAAAAAAAGATTTTTAGATTTTTACATCAAATGAAATGACTGATAGTATTCTGCTTTCTGGGTTTCCCATCCAGAGGCATCTCTGTGGACACGATCCACAGTTTTTGCCTGCGGTTCTGTGGCTTTAGAGGCCCACAAATCCATTTCAACAGGATGTGTATATACGTGTGCTTCTGAATTTGAAACTGCTGCCTTTCCACATTGATATCGACCCACAGCTAGCGCGAGCCAGCCTTTCGGCCGCGATGCGCTCAATTAAAATGGAGAATATGACACCCGGGCAGACACAGGGGACGAGAGCACGGTCTGTGAAAACGAAAGCGAAGGATTTTTACGTTCGCGGGCCCACAAAGGTGGAGGACTTTTTCAGCTGAAACCAGCACGCTGAGCTCAGGTTTCGGTTTCCCCTCATCGGCCATTTTGGGATCTGGACGGCGGGCCGAAGGGAGGGGGTCTCCCGGGGCTTTGGGTTTCTGGGTCGTAGGTCGGGCCCGAACCGGCTGCCGGAGTCTGACTCCACGCCGGTGTCCCGTTTCCACTCCGCTGAATCAGCAGTTTTCAGGCCCGTGACCCTCCGAAACAGGGTCAGGGTTTTGGAGGGGTTAGGTTTAGGGTTACAAAAGGGATCTCCTCTAAAGGTTGTTGAGTTTGCAGGGTACTGCCGATGTGAATTTGGTGTGTCGAAGCAGGTAAACCTGCAAAAGCTGCAGGATCAGATCTGCTTCAGAAATATCTGACAAGCTCTTTTTCTCTTCCTCTGTGCTCTGGAGAGAGTTTCCATAAGGACGAAGTCGTGTTAGGAGCTTTAAAGTGATGCATCCTCCAGGTTTGTCTCCCTTTGCAGATATTTGCAATCATCCTGTTGACTTGATGAGGATCAAGAGAATAAAACCAGCATTTAGCATCTCAAACTGATCCACTCGGAGCCTTTAATATTCACTTTTCAAGAAAAATAAAACATCTACAATGTCAAAACCTTATATATTTGTCATACGATACAGTATAATATGCATTATATATGAGATTTAATCTGACTTTTGAGCGTGAATGTCTTCTTTTGCTTATGTAAAAGCCCCATTTGTGGGTGGAAAAGCTTAAAGCAGCCACAGCTGCAGGAATCTTCCCTCTGTGTCAGAATCATCAGATCAGTTGCATCAAAATGGCCGCAGAGAGTCCCGTGAGCTAGACTAGAAGTGCTAAGTTGGGATGTGGGGCTGAGTCCGGAGCTGGAGAGTCAGGAGGAAGCAAGAATTTTCTGTAAGATTCCCGAGTCCTGCTAGCTCTGCCGGACTCGTTTAAAGCGGAGCTGGGTTTTAATATCAGCGTCTGGGGCTGTTTGTGGTTTCAAACTTGACTAAATGAGCACATAGAATCTCATTTGAGGTAATTTATTATCATCTATCCCGGGCAAATAAGTGGAAGCTCGAGGCAATTACTCTGCCAGGCACCTCTTTCAGAGCATCATAGAGAAGATAATAGAAAAAGAAATTAGATTCATTTTCAGTTTTCATCAAACGACGGAGCAGAAAGACTCAATTTATTCCTCCTGCAGCTGATCTTTCTGCACCTTTACATCCAATATTATTTACCACACATTTACATATCACTGATGTGATGATCTTCGTAAATATTGCAATAGAAATGTATTCATAAAGTATAATAAGTTTAAGTTGTGAGCTCCTCGGAGGCTCGACAGCAGATTTCTTGGGTGATGTAAACGTCCATTCAGGATAAACAACTATAGAATCACACGCCTCTCCTCACTTCTCACTCCTTTATTTATTCTTTTTGGTATTTCTGAGGGTTTAAAATGAGAAGTTAAATGTAAAAACTGCTTAAAACAGACACTTTTAAAGCAATGAAGATGATCAGTTCAGCTGTATATACATATTTGATTTGATGATCAGGATTCAGCTCTTTTTCTACCATTTAAGAGTCATAAATACGACAGATTTAAAAAACTGATCAGGGATAAGAAGGCAGGACACAGAGACATCTATTTGGTCCTTGAAAAGTAAAAAAAACAAACTGAAATAGGTGGAATTGGTGCGAATACAAGATTGGAAATTGGAATTGGAGATTGTAAATCTATTTCAGATAAGGGCTTTAGTCAGCGTGAACACCGGATCCCAGTTTTTGTGTCACCATTTTAGACCCAATCAGAGCTGCAGACTCAGTAAACACTGATGTCAAAGCAGCCAAACAGGGAAAATGATGGAGAACAGATAAACTCCAACCAAAAAACGGTTTAAATAAAAGGTCCGCTTAATAGTCCTTGAGGAAAACAGGGAGTCCACAACAATCTGACATCCAGAGAGACACAAACTCCACCTGAGGCTGCACAAATGAGACCACATTAGCAGATTTTCCTTCAGATTTCTGCACGTGTGCCTTTTTTTTGTGCATTTTAGTGGGAAAATGCTGGGATTTTGAGGGGGTTAATGCCTTTAACTGCACCAAAACACAAACCCCAGCAGTTTTTTTTCTAACCTGATCTGGGTTTGTGGACCTGCGTTTACTGACTCCACTCTCAGAGTTGATTATCTGCCAGGCCGCCACGAGCTGATGAACACCCCCCACCACCCCCGACCCCCCCACCACCCCCCCGCTCCGGTCGGTGAAGCCCGGACATATATTTCAAGCATGTTGTGAACTTCAGCCATGTGTGTGAAAGCTTAATTATGATGTATGCGGGGTGCTCTGCAGTTGGAAGCCACTTCAATCGCACAACTGTCGCCTCCCAAATATTTATTAACGGCCGTCCGGAGGCGTGCGCGCCGAGGGCCTGCAGGCAGCTTCAGCATAACTCACAGCCACCCATGCACGCCGGGGTTTTGTTCCTCCTCCACGCACGCATTCAGCCGGCAGGATTTTGGGGGCCGCTCGCGTTAATAAACGCGTCGTTGTCGAGCCCTGGGGCTGCAATCTCATCAGGTATTTATGATTAGCGACAACAACTGGGCTCTGAGAGTCTGTTTGATAGGAAAAATGAGGAAATAAGTGTGTTACTGTCCCTTTTTTTTAGGCAGGTAAAGTTGCCGCTCCCTCTCCAGGGGGGTTATATGCATCCGTTAAACCACAGATTTGCATAAAAAACAACACTTTTGAAACATTTTTCCCATCAAAATGACTAATTGGTACATTTTTATCAAACTTTAACTGAAGCAACGATCCATCTTTAGAATTTAATTTGCTACAATGCCCCCCTTAGAGAACATTTACAATTTTATATGTAAATTTACTTTATTTATAACATTTATACTTTACCAAAACCTTCAAGTGTTTACACTTTTACAGCAGGTTATAAAAAGGAGGATAAGTAAGAACGATCCAAAGAAATAAAGAACAGTGACAAACAATAAAATACAACAAAATCCAAAAAGATAAAATAAGATCACACTACTGGGTATTAAAAGCCATCCTACATTTTTAAGGTTACATTCAATCACAAATGCCATCAAGCTCATGAGATTTAAAGAATGCATTTCCTTTATTAAATGTCAAGGTTTTTGGTTTGGAATGAAAACATGATGTAAAAAAAATGGTACAAAAACATGGCTGTTAAATCTAAGATCTAAAAAACCTGAATAACTTTAATAATGTCTGTGGCATAGAGTGGAAAAAAGGGTTTTTACTGAAACAGGGTATCCTCCGGGTTATTTAATTGGGATCTAGCTGCACTTTGCTCATAAATAAAACAACAAAACACAAATAAAATCGGGCTGGTCAGTGAGGGGTGGATGTGACCATCTTTATCCCCAGGAGCCGTGCTGACAGATGAGATTGGATGTGACCAACAGTCTTGTGGGTGAAGGCGCTCCATCCGAGGTTAAAAATGTCCCCGCCACCTTCAGAGCGGACAGACCGCGATCGCGAGGTGTCAGTGAGATTGAGTGTTGGCGAAAACCTCCCTTCGAGCCAACGCCGGTCCCCCTCAAATGGGAGAAGTGGGCTAGAAAAGAGGGGCCGCGGGCGGATCACAGGCTGGTGGAGCTCCAACAACAGACGACTGAAGGCCACATCACACCTCAGCCTCCTGCAGCACGACAAAGACGCAACGCTGACTTTGAATTGTGTGTTTGCACAGCAGAGGGGATCCTGGAAATAGAGCCAGAGCCAACTTTGAATCACCCGGAGGAGCATAAGTTAGAGGAGAAGCCTTTGTGGGAAAAAAAAAAACTTTCTACAGTCTAGAGAGGAAGTCCAACAAAAGAAGAAGAAGAGAAGAAATCAGGCAATGACTAGAATGATAATGTAGAAAGTAGAGAAGCAGTATTGCAGTCATGTCAGCTTTTCATCCCTGGCTTGAGAAAGGAAGAGTTTGAAGTCTGATCTTAAAGGTGTTGGGGGGGTCTGGTTCCTGGTTCCTGGTTCCACAGAGAGGGGCCTGATACCTGAAGGTTCTGCCTCCAGTTCTGCTTTTAAAAACTCAGTCTGAGAGCAAAGAGCTCTGCTGGGAAACGTCCAGCCATGCTGGAGCTGCTCATTCAGAGTTCAGATGTAAGGAAAAGGAGAAAGTCAAACAAAAGCTAGAGGCTGTGAAGGGGGGAGGACCCTGCAGAGTGTGGACGAATGGGGAACCAGGCCGTAAACTTCAGTTTTCCTTCAAAAACCCTAAAACTGAACTCAGGAAAAACAAGTACAAATAATGGAATAACTAAACTTAACCTACCCAGTGAAAACTCTAGTGAGAAAAACCAAGGGAAACCAAACCAAAATCAGCTTTATTTGACTGACTGACTTTCAATCTGCTTTAAAAACACCTTTTTACTCCCAGGGGGAAAATGTGGATTTGTTTGCTTTATTTTTACGACTCCTTTATTACTTTTATGACCATTTTTCTCGGGTTTATTGCCATCTTTTGGCCTCAGTCTGTCCTTCTTTAATTTTTGGTTTATCGTGCATCCCTTCGGTCGGCATTGCTGTTGTTTTCGTGGTGATTTTTTAAAAGGAAATGGAATCATAAAATGCTCATCGGTGGCTTGTTGTTAGCTCAGGTCAAACCTCTGACGACCATCCATCCTTTCCATTTGCCCTCTGTTTATCCGAGGTCAGGCCAACAGCTTCAGGACTTAAACACAGACATCATCTTCTCAACAACACCCTCGATGATTAGATAATTCCTCCATTTAGTTTGTATATATCCCAGAGTCCTCTCCCAGTAGGACATGCCTGGAAAAAGGAGAGGTGGCTCCACCCTGAGCTCCACTGAGGCCAGATGTTTCCCTAATGAAGCACACCTGATTCAAATCACCTCTTCAGCAGCCCTGTGCAGAGCTTGATCCTCAGAAGAGATCGACTGAATCCGAATCGGGGAAAATTAAGCTGGGAGACCTCTCAAACTTCCAGGACAGTGACCCCTGAGGCTAGGAGGTGCCCACTTCTTCTTCACTTGGAGGCTGAGCCCAGAAGGAAGCTCATTTGGGTCTCCACCAAGGTGGTGAAGGTGGAGAACAAAAGGTGGAGAAGAACCTGAAAACATCTCCTTCCCTCAGCTCCCCTCTGAACCAAATGGACCAGAGCAGCCTTCACTTGGCTCAGTGCCTCACCCCCATCTGGAGG